TATAGTATGGTGGGAACGTGTAAGTAAATTGCGTCTAAATGAAGCAATTGAAGAAGTTAAAGCAAAAAATGTTGATCTGGACAGTGCAGATATCGAATGGGAAGCATTGATATCGAAACAACGGTCTCATTATCATAATATGTGCGCAGTGTATAAGATCAATTCACTGCCAATTACCGTAAATTTGTTTAAGGCAACCGAGTTTGATCAGTCACATGGTCGTAATGTGTACTTTGATAAAAATATTAGAACACAAAACAGTGTTAGTGATTTAAAAAATCTTCCAAAAATTGATTGGGACAGTAACTGTCTTTCACATGTGCGCATTATTCCTGTAAAAGGTGGCCACTTTACAATGATGACAGATCAGAACAATAAAACTTTATTGGGAAAAAAAATAAATGAATTATTACTATCAAAATAAATATAAATGTTAAAACTACATTAAGTTTTATAATTATAACATTTCAAAAAAGTAGTAAGAAAGAACTCTTTATAATAATTTTTTCAACAATAAAAATTCATAAATTTTTATCATAATACCTTTCCTACGCTAGGTGTGCGGAAAAGTAAAAATTGTAATTTTAAATGCGAAATAAAATTTTAATAAAAAAACCACTGGATTCGTGCGTGCAAAGCATTTATTGCATATCTCTTTTAGTGAAACGCTTCTGAAAAGTCAGGCAGAGCAGAATGAAAGCTACTTCGAAATTACGAATACGAAATCAACTTCGTTCCTTCACGTGAGTGACATTTCGAAAATATGACGCGTGTATGTGTTATTTCCCACTCTACAGAACATTTTCTAGAAACATTACGTCATCTTAACGGCAAGCTTATCGCCATCCACATTTGTTAACAAATTAAAGAAAATATCTCATAAATTTTATAATAAATTAATTATCAAACAGTGATTGGATCATTCTTTACAAAATAAATAGTTATAGCACTGCCAATTTCTATTTTTTCAATAAATAGACCAACCAATACATTAAACTCGTACAAGGTAAGAAATATTTAGAACGCTCTAGAACACACACACATTTTCTGTGAAAAACAACACAATTGTAGAAAAAAAAATCGTTCATGAAGTCAGAATAAATGACTTCTTTTCAATGGCATAAATCAATTTCTTCAAAAAATGTAAAAAAACTTCAATTTTTTTTTTACAAAAGTGATGAAAAATGTGTTTCGAAATATGAAGCTCTAAAAAACTATTTTGTTGTTATATATCATAAGCAGTATGGCGGACACAAACGTAGGATCAAGTCAAAAACGCCAACGAGAAGGTGAAAACGATGAACACCGTCCGAAACGACAGCGTCAAACTGAGCCAACTACCATTGAACAAGCCTGTGACACTGCGAATGAAAACACTGAAAATATGGAAATGTTAGGAATATGGGAGCTGTATGAGATGGCAAAATCAAACAATGAAGAGAAAACAGCCATTCGACTGACATTTGCTCAGAAATACGCATCAAATTTATTCTCTTTCGATCGAAATTTGCAACACGCAATCGATATTACCGAGAGTGACATTTGTGTCTCTGATTTATCGATTTTTTTGAAGGTCTTGCATTTTTTTGGAGACGTAATCTCCAAACTTCGCATCAACTACAACGATTTAAGTCAAAGCGAAGCGGCCAATTTGTTTGCTACTGTGAACGAGTATTGCGGTGACACTTTGTTGGAAATTGACGTTTGTTCGTTTAATCGTTCTATCATGAACGATCTGAAGCAACCATTCGGAAAAGTGAAAGCAGTTAAATTCTCCAATTGTGAATTGGGGAGCCGATTAACGGACTTTAATCGATGGTTTCCAAAGATGCAAAGTTTAACGTTTGGTGAAGAAGTAACGGTGATCGATTGCAAATGTATCGAAGTTAATTTTCCACATTTGAACACATTGGAAATTACGGCAATGGAAGTACAAAAGCAACACTTCTTTGAAGAATTGAACATTGCCAAATTGTTGAGTTTTAATTCACATTTGCGACATTTGGAGCTTTGTAGCGATTTCTTGGATCATAAATTTCTACAATCTGTGAGCAAACATCTTCAACATTTGGAAACTCTTGCGATTGTTTGGGATTGTGGTCCTGATTATGCATGTGATAACATACGGTTTTCGATATGGCAATTACCCCTGAAAAAAAAAATACACTTGAAAAATGTCAAAGAATTTACACTCAGTTCGTTTGAAAATCTAGATTATTCCCATTGTTGTCGAATACAGCAAATTCCATTCACTTTCGATCGACTTGATAAGTTTAAGTTCATTGTGATGGCAAATAACGAAAATTACGAAGAAACTCTTGTCGATGAACTAGATTCGTTCATATTAAATCATAAAACATTGAAGAGTGTTACTTTGCATTGTGATTTGTTGTTGCCATATATACCACATTTTGTTAATTATGATTTAAACGTAACTCTGAGACTATTTATAGTGACATGTTCAAGCCTAGAGGAAATCAACATCAGTTGTAAGTTTAACTTTATTGACGACATTGAAGATTTCTTCACTGATTGTAACTCATTGAAAGTATTACGATTGGGAATAGGAAGCGATATAACGTTCAATGATTTATTGGAAAAATATGGTAACGAATGGCAAATATCCATCGACGGAAAGTATGCTGAATTTAAACGAAAGGCTATGCCTCGCGCGACAAGCGAATACGAAGCATCCGATGACCTTGATCTCTCCGATGATGAAGGGGAAATTGAGGAATATTCCGAAGATTGGCCAAACAGCTCAAATGATGATCACTCCGAAAATGATATAGAATCGAGCGAATCGAGTAAAAGTATCTCACGACAGCGTCAAGATGGCCAAAATGAAGATGACGCTGAAGTTGTTAAAGAAACAAACGAAACTGAATTATCCGATGCTCTTGATATTCCCGAAGATGATAGCGCTTCAAATTGCACAGACACAAATTCTGTTGAATCAATGGAGACGAATGAACAATCTACTTCTGAATTACCAGCTGAATTCGACCATACATTTGCTATTAACAAATTCATGAGTTTGGATTTCGTTGATTTTTTAAAAGCTGCCGACTCAAATCTCCAACGGAACCACCTAATCACCGCGGCCTTTTCGAACAATTATCAAACTAATTGTATTCACTTCATGCCGCCTCATAATTTGTCGCAAAAAACCGATAGCATTGTGATTGATGATTCATCAAAATGTTTGCCATTTCTACATTATTTCGGTCAGTTCATCAGGAAAGTGATTTTGAATTTTGAACAGAAAAGCGACGATGATTTGGGAAATCATTTGAATAAGTATTGCACGGATTCTTTGACTGAAATTAAAATTCATCATGCTACAGAAAAAACAATGCAAGACCTGGAAATTCCATTTTCGCGAATCGAAACGCTTGAGTTCAACAACAGTAAGCTCAACTGCCGACTCACGGACTTCAATAGATGGTTCGGAAGGGTTCGAAACTTAAAGTTTGCCAGCGATGTAATTGTGATCGACCGAAAATGCATCGAAATGACATTTCCACATTTGGAAAACTTGTCAGTCACTGATGACACATTTGATAAAGAGTGCATTGTCGAAACCGTGCGCCTAAATCCACAGCTACGAAGTTTAGCAATTGGTATGCATACGATGGATGCGAAATTCATGCAAAGCATCGCTGATTATGGTCATTTGCTTGAATATTTGGAAATTCAATACTGTGAGTGCGAACGAGACTTTGGTAGCGAATCTATTCACTTTAAGAATGTGAAGGAATTGAAATTGATCTTCGAAGATACTGATCAAAATATTCCGCTGTCGTTCGATTTACTGAATAAACTCACAATCAAATCAGAATGGACAGGATATGGTATCGCTGAATTTTCAAGGAAACATTCAACGATAACATGCCTAACTTTGGATATGAAATACGGCTTGCTAAGATGGAAATTTGCTAAAGAATTACCGCAGTTAAAGGAAATTTGTTTTATGGGTGACGTATATACAATCGGTAACATTATTGATTTGTTGATTGATTGTAAATTGTTAAAATCACTGCAAAAGATCGGTTTCGTGCTTCACGAGCGTGATACAATCGACGAGCTAAGAAAATATTTGCACGGTGATTGGAATGCATCCATTGATGATGGAAAAATAATGTTGGAACGTGCTATTTGGAATGACGGTCAATAAACATCAACACACGAAAATAAAATACACCGCCACACTTTAATACATTTTTTTTAAATTATTTCTCATTCAATTTTATTCCATTTTACGACATTTAGATAAAGACACATTCAAAAAATTTACAATTGTTTTTAAACTTTTTTTCTCTTTTTACATTTCGTCAAATGAATCCTTACATTAACAATTTTAATATAAGCATTGCAGAGATGCAGGACCTTTTTTTGTAAGTGTCGCTCTCTCTTGTTTTCACGCCCGGTACTTAAAAAGTTTTAAGAATTAACGTACTTCTTCGGCGCCAATTGTCTGATTGTCCAATTACCTTTATTTTTCGATACTTGCATAATATTAAACTTTTTATAAATAAAGAATAGTCAGTGTTTTATTTTGTAAATTATGAAATAAGATAATATTGGGGAAAATACCAATGGTTTACCAAATCAAGTCCAAATATTAGTACGCATCTTAAAAGCGTAAAGAAAATGAGAATTTAAATTGAATTTTTATCTCGGCTACTACGAAAAGCTAGTTTTTGTGAATTCAGCAAATTCACCTTCATTAGCTACTGTGTAAACATATGATACATTTTTAAACTTTTTGACTTGTTCTTTTCAATGCAGTTAATTTCTCCAAATTTTCACACACAAAAATGTCGTGTATTGTTTAGAAAACGTCAAAACAAAGTCTTCTTTGTTGCGATGTGATTTTTGCAAGGCACGAGTTTTCGACATCAAACATTGCTTTCGTTTATTGGAACATCACAGTCTAAATTGACAGTTCAAAGTACACACAATGTTTTCGCTTCATTCCAATACATTCACATGTCACGTATACAAGAGAAGAGCATATTCACACATAAACCATATCTCAGTCAATGTCAGCATTTTCACGACTTCCGTTTGCGTGTATGCAATATTGACACATCTGTAAGGCGAATCAACTCATCGAAGAAACATCCTGACACAATAAATCGCAGAGTCATTTAAGCTGTGTTCATTGCGAGAAGAGTAAGAGCCGCAATAGTCGGGGAAAGATTTGTCAAATATCGTAACATTGTGAAATACTGGTTTCAATTGAATATTAGTTTTAAGTAGCTGTATCAGGTTCTCTACACAACCACAGAACATGAATCGTTTTGTGGTGGGTTTCAAAAATCGCAATGCTTGTGACATCAGCAATAAGTATTTGGTCGAAATTTACATGAATGGACCGAAATTTGACATCGATTTGATTTCATCCGATCAAAAAACCATTCGCGCTCACAAATGTGTTGTAAGCATGTATTCAATTTATCTCAAGGATTACATTCGCGAACTCAATTCCGAGGGCAAAGAATACAGTGTGTACATTTTTTATTGATTTTTAACTCTTTACAGAAAAAAAAAATTAAAAAATCTTTTGGTAAAAAAATCGTAATTTCGTCGTGTTGAATAATGCTTTTGTTCTTATCCCATTTCAATAGTTCTATTGTCCGATATTTCAAGCCACGTGCTGAAGCAAGTAATCGATTTGTTTTACAATGGACAGATTGTGATTAGTGGCGAGGTCAAGCCATACATGATAAAAGCATTGGTTTTCCTAAAGGTACCTGATGTTTTGATTCAGCCGGCGAAAACACAACAGCCAACTGCACCATCAAACAACGGTAAGGAATGGCATTTTTAAGCGTTGAACTTTTTTTCATCATAACTTGTTCATTCAGTTCGGATGCGTGTACCACCAGTAGTGATAAATCCAAGATACGCCACACAAGTGCGGCCACCGCCAATGCCACCAACGCTCCATTCAACGCCGATCATTCGTGATATGAACATGGTTCACGTGAACAACGCTCAATGCAATTGGGATCAAGTCGGACCATCGCCGTGTCCAAATCGTTCTCAATTCTACAATCATCATTCTCACAATTTCATACCATTCAGATACATTGAACGTCAAGACACGACATTAGTGACGCCATCGATTTCGTCACCGCCCGTTCGTTTGATTTCAAGCACACCAAAAGCAGCAAAAGGAAAAGGTAAAACTAAATGTGAATTTTCTAAATCGTCCAATTCCAAGGCATGAATCTAAGGCTTCAACAGAGATTCTAACCATTTTAAATCATTTTTTCAGCCATGGTACAAAATACTCAATTCGTACGTATGCAAAATTCAATGAAACGCAACATCCCTGGTTTATTGCGATTGAAGAAAATGAAAGGCAACGCTTCAGCTGGCAATCAACCTTACCGTTCCTTTATATCCAACCAAACGCCGCCAATATCAGTGCAATATACACAAAACCAAATCGAGGTGAACAGCATGAATATTGTGCATCAAGACGCCAATGGCATTGTGTCGATGGCTTCGAATTTGGTCGAAACAAACTATGTAGAAGTCAATAATTTGGGCTTTTAAACGACTTGGATACAGTTTCATTGCTTTTTTTAGTAGTTTTTCAATCGTAGCATACAAAATGCATCACATCAAATTGAATGGATCTCATTGTTATTGATCTTATTGAAAATATTTTACATAAATCTAACTCACACAATAATGTAACCTGAATACCAGTCCATTTTGCGTAATCAAATTTTGATCAAAGTAAACAAAACTCTGGAGAACAAAGGAATCTTTTTCTTCATTCTTAGTTTCTTTTCGAAATTTGAAGGTTCAGTCATCTTAATCGAAGTATTTAGTTCGAAGACTTATTATAAAAAAATTTGGTTCGTTGGCAACGGACCATGAAAAAAAATTCAACACTTTTTCTTGAATTCAAGTAAATAAATTGTGAATATGTCTTTTGAATTCAATATATAATTGTGGTTGTGATTTGGCATTGTACATAATTTCGGGCAAGCATTCAACGAAATGTCAACATGAATAGTGGAGACATACTCATACACACATACACAGCACAATACCTGCAGAATGGGTTACGTCACCGACTACGATGCACACAGTAATTCTTTTGATCTTCTTTGTTCGGTGTTCACAGGAGAAGCACGCTCTCCATACAACTTGCAATCACTGATGCAGTACTTTTAGCCAAAAATCATATGAAACTTCTAAATAACAGGATTCTGTGTTGAATTGAAGCAGAAAAATCGAATTTTCTACCTTATTTTGTACATTTCAATTTTGGAAAATCTCTCTTTATTAAAAACCTCACAAAGAAAAGTCACTATGTAACACAAAAATGGGAAAAGCGCAAAACATGTCGAAATAAATGGAAAAGTAATGAATATTCAACGTAAAAAAAAGAAATTATGTGACAACTGAAAACTCGTCAAAAGCCGATCCAGGTTTTCAGCTGGCAGCATGTACAATTATTCCCCATCCAGAGAAATGGTAGAAATGCTACATACCCATAAATGTCAACATCGTGCATTTACTGGTATCTTTCATCAAAAGGTCTTTCATCAAAAGGTCTGATAACGAGAAGCCTAAACTACGGAAGTAACTATTAATAGTTCAAAAAATTAATGGATGTATTTGACTTATGGAAATGATATATGATTAATATCATATTTGATAGATTTAAACCCCACTGATTTAAATGATTGAATATTGTATTTCCGTCTGGAAAATTCAGAAAAACGAGTCCAACAAAAAGTCCAAATATACGCTTTATTCCACTTATTACCAATTTATGATGAAAATATGACCATCTGCCAATTAATAATAAAAGGTCAAAAAATTACTAATAAAATAATCTTCTGAAATGACGTAGATTTTGTTTATATATCACAAAGTTGAACCGTTTCAATTCGTGATTTGTCGTTAATACCGAAAGACCGTGATTATCTCTCTTCTCATTTCAAAATCATTTTCAATTCAAGAATATTTTAACCACTGAAATCAAAGAAATGTTACCATTTGCAGTTGTGAAACGGCAACTAGCCATTATGGCTATTATTCCAATTCCAAAAGTGTATTTACCGTCTAAATTACGCAATTTACAGACGTTACTCAATTGGGAGCACGTTAGTTTCGTTTTTTCAGTGTTGCTCGCCTATTTTACGGCTCCGCTCTACTTTCTCTTGTTCAAAGCAAACAATTTTGTTGAATTTATTGAAGTTACGTTTATGGTGACCGTAACATTGCTGAAAGTGCTGTTTTATCCAATTTTAATCTGGAAACGATCCGACCTTTTAAGCTTACTGCTTGAGTTGGAGAAAACTATTGAATTGAGTGAGTTTAGTTGAAATAATTCATTTTTTAAAAAATTATCGACATTGACATTTGTGTGCAGGAAGCAAGGATCCGGAGATTCGTACACTTTATTCGATTGAAAATGAAAAATCTCAGAAATTTGTGAAAATATATTGGAACATTTTTTTCATATATGTTCAATGCTTCATAGTACCAAAAGTGTTGGGATCGTTCATTGCGTATTTTACGTCGGGCCTTTCGAATGATTCATTTCAACTGGTTTTCACCGCAACGTATGTATTCCGAATCCATTTACGATCAGTATTTGAAAATGTTCACCTTGAATTTAGATACCCATGGAACTGGAAGAACTCAATGCGTGGTTACTTGGCAGTGGCATGTGTTCAATACACTTCTGCCAATGTTGGAATTTTATTCATGGCATGCATTTTGTGCTTTTATATCGGATTCTGCAAAGCATTCGGAGCATTCATTTTGAACATCAACAAATGTCTTACCGACTTAAATGACCAAATCACCGACAAACAACAGACATTTACAGCTGACAAACGCATTGAAATTATTGAAAGATTTTACGATATCATTCAATTCCATTCGGACACCAAACAGTTGAGACACAGATTTTATCGATTATCAATTTTATTCTCTGTTTCAACATTTCTGTCGTTCACATTTAGGTTTGTTGAATGTTTTAATAATTCATTTGGTTGGATAATAACCGTTCTATTTGGGTTATCAAAAACATTCCTATGTACTGCTTTGTTGGGATTAAATGTGGTAGGTTTCGATAGAATTTGTTTAAAATGATTTGGTAAAATGAAAATGTTCTAAAATTAGGCGGTGTCCATGGGAAATTGGTTGGACGTGTTTCGTTTGATGGTCAGCCTGTCATTGGCTATGATTTACGTGATTGTGGTTTGCATTTTCGGGGACGAAATGACGTGTGGATTTAATGAAATTTATAACACGATTGATATGTTATCCTACTATGAATTACCGACGAAAATTCAAAAGTATCTACCGATGATGATTGCCATTGGACAGAAACCGGTGCACGTGGAAGGTCACATGAATATTAAATGCAATCGGCCACTCGTCAAACAGGTTCCATTTTTTGGTGTTTCTTGGGGTGAAAAATTATTTCAAATTTTCTACTTTACACAGATTACTAATGCCGCTTTTTCCTACTTTACTATTCTACGGAAATTCAGTTGAAAAAAAATTAAACAACGGAACAATTCAGTTGAAAAAATGCCACATTTCAGCACGGATTTTGGATAAGTGGTTTTAATTTGATGTGAATATGAAGAAAAGAACTTTTGCTTTTGAATTTCCGGATTTTAGGATGAATATATCTTACTCACACTAGATGTGCGGAAAAGTAAAAGGTGCAATAGATAAAATGAACATGTCTAATATTGGATTCGGAGATAATGGTGTCTTCTCGTAACAATATTGAAGTACAAATATGCCGTGATCAAGACACACTCGAGACGAAGACTACAATTCTTTCTTTCTTTAATTTTCTCTTTTTTCTGCTAGTAGAAGACGAAGAGCCCAGTCAAAGTTGTGTTGATCAAAATACTGCTAGGGGAAATGATCTATTCGCGAATGGACAAAATTTATTGATTGTATGATTAAGTCGTCATTTTAGTAAAATAATTCAAGAAATTCGCATACAATTCGCAAGCTATTCGCAAAAAGTTATCACAATCAAACTATATAATATACGCTTGCAAACGAACCAAGTGAATAGCGGCGACGCAAGAAAACGAAGTGAGTGAATAGCGGCAGCGGATAACATTTTTTCTTTCGTTCGTTGTCGCTATTCACTCATTTCGTTTTCGTGCGTCGCCGCTGTTCACTTGGCTCGTTTATAAGCGTTCACAATTTGATACATACAAAACTTACAAATTTTGCGAATTGTCTCACGTTCATAGCGTTTTGTTTGCGAATTGTTTTTTAAATCACAACTTTACTGGCCCATCGCTTACAAATCATTTCGCATAAAATTCGCAAAATATCGAATAATTCGCTATTTTCTGATCGAGATCCGATCCCCTAGAAATACTGTGCGCTTCTCTCAATTGATGAAAACAAAATAATTTCGTTGCATTCTTCTTTTGTTTTATACAAATTGTTTTTCTCTTAATTAAAAGAAATCAGCAAAAATAAAATGTCTTACATCCGTAAGATGAACTTTTCCGTACTGTGATCCACAACATGCATTTATTACAAATCTTTTACCGTAAATATGAATTCATGAGAAAACTGAATCTGATATAAGTTTTGCGATACAAATAATTTTTGATAGACTTTTCAATGCCTGTATGATATCGTAATCATGTGAAAATTTGCAGAGGTTATTTTTTTCACAAAAACTTAACATTCTGAAAGTTTGAAGAAATTTCAATGCATATTAGGGATACTTCCCATAAAAAATTTTGTTTTTGAGCGAAAAATCCAAAATTTTGTTCGGGAGGTACCCCTAATATGCGTTGAAATGTCTTCAAACTCTCGAAATGGTATTTTTTATGATAAAAATAACCTGTGCAAAGTATCAGCTCATTACGATATCATAATAATAAAATCCAATTTTTCTGAAATTTTTGTATGAAAAGTGTGTCGAAATATATTTGTATCGTAAAACTAACGTCATATTCGGTTTTCTCATACCCAAAAACTCCTCAATACATATGTTTGAGTGTGATTTGTGATACATTAAATATCACTTTTGGAAGAAAAATTGAATTTTTCCTATGGATGCCCATGGGTATCACACCAGACATGACACGTCGTTCTATCAACCAAAGTCGCTCAAAATCTAATGGTTTCTATTCCTCGGCACCCCCAATCATTCTGTGAAGTCAGATTTTGAATTACTTTTCTTGTTTGAAAGTTATCGTGTTAACAAATTTTTGCGTACAGCGTACAGGGCACCACGCACATACATTCGGACATCGAAAAAACGCTAGATTCATGTTCCCTGGCCCTAAAAACGCCCAGAAAACACATTTTTGATGGATCTTAATTTTTCGACCGATTCCAATACGTTACCTTACACACAAGGTGTGTGCGGAAAAGTAAAATATCGTCGATTTTAACGAATTACGTCGAATAATTGAAATGATATTTGTTAACACATGTAAGCACATTGTTGAAACATACTGAGTTCTGTGTAACACGTATATCACTCAAATTGGCACAAATTCAGACGTCCGCCATTTGAACAACATACACACAATATTAAATTCGTTTTTATTGGTATAAACCTTTATTCATAGGCTATCGAATAGAACATTCACCTTACACTGATCGGACCATTGTCTTCGATTTTTCTCAGTATGTGTCGAACCTTCAAAATCATGTGCTGGACAACCGATTTGTCGATT